TAGAAAAAGATGTATGTTACTATACATCAATACACCAGAAGGGCTTAAATGTCGAAAAAAAGCATTGAAATTGAAGAGAGCATTGTACGGCTCGAGAAATGCACCAGACTGCCAAGTTTAACGAAGTCGTGGAAAATTAGGTTTTTGTAGGTCGAAGTACGACTTCTGTTTGTATGTAGGTAACGGTGCCTACTTAACTATTTTCGTTGACAATGCAAAGATAGACAAATTAATGAATGATCTAAACAAAGAGTTCGATGTCAGAGATTTGGGAGAAGTCTCTTCGTTCTGAGGAATGCAGTTTAATCGAGATGAAAAGGAATTAAAAATCAGTCAGTCCAAAATAATTACCCGCACCTTAACAGAATTTAATATGGAACAGTGTCGAGAAGTTGCTACACCCATGGAAACGAATTTCATTTAACAGAATCCAGTTTGAACGAAGAAATTCCATTTCGCAGATTAGTGTACAGTCTAATATACAGTACATTTCTGTTACAAGCAGACCGATATTGCGTATAGTGTTGTATCTTACTTGTTAGTAGACATCTAGACAAACCGACAGATCAGTTGTGAGAAGACAGGTAAAAGAATTCGATACTTAAGTTGCACGAGACAATCTAGTAGGCACGAATGATGCTGATTGGGGAGGAGATACGAAAACCAGGAAGCGTGAGCGGAATGATTGCTTTTCATGCTGGGAATCCAATCTCATAGTACTCCAGAAAACAGAATTGTTATACAGTAGACTCCCCTATAACGCGGAGATATGTTCCTCGTTATACGAATTTCGCGTTGTAGGAATCCTTAAATACGTGAGCCAATAGCAGCCCAACACGTGTGAAGTTTACGGACTACGGCTGTTTGAAAGGTTTTCTTCCATAAAATTAATCGATTCTAGACTAATTCGACTCAACATTTCCAAAATACGTATAATTTTTTGGGAATAATCCATATAAACTATGCTATAAACAAAAAATTGTAGGATTACTTACCGAGTGTGCACCGTTCGACGTCGCCATTGCTTAAGCTTGTGTTTGTCGCGGAGCAGCGCACACCAAACGGCGGCTGCAATTTGTTATTTTTCTGCGAAAAATTCGTTGAACTTTGGAGACATCATTAATATAAATAATTTTTATGGCCGTTGAATAAGAAATGTATAAAATTACAGTGCTATATTAGACTTTCGCTAATTTACATACTGTTCAGATGATAGTAAACTCAACTTACCTGCCTAAACTCTCCGTAGTGTGGCGCTGGACGGCGGAAAGTAGTTCCGCTGCTCGTCTGCGATGACGTTTTACCGCGTCCCTTTTAGCGTCTTACTGTCGCAATTTTTTCGCCTCGTTATAGGAATTTACGTTTTAAGAACCCACGTTATAGGGGGGTCTACTGTATATATATTCAGTCTCCATAGATGAGAGCACCAGCTAGTAGCTCAAGAATTAATGAACTTGAAAGCTGTTTTGTCAGAATTTGGTAAGTGTAATACCGCAATCCTCAAAGTTGACAACGTAAGTGCAATTTCTATGATGAAAGCGTTTGAGAATTCAGAGGTGTAAGCACATTAAAGACCTGTGTAAAAAGGAAATTTCAATTGAACGTATCAGTACAAATGAAAATACAGTAGAGTGTCGATTTTCCGAATCAATTGGGGACTGGGGTTGTTCGGATAACTGATTTACGAACGAAAAAATAGTTTAACGTATCCGATGTCGAAATTTTTCTCAGTTGCGTGTCGCTTCGCGTTGAATTTTCGTCGATGTTAAGCCTAACAAAGACTATTGTATCGTTAAAAATTATTTTTTTATTTTGTACGAACAAAATAAATATATTGAAAAATATAAAAAATTATATTTCAGAAGTTAATTTAGTATCAAAAACGTAAAATATTTGAGTAGCCCAAGACATAGCCAAAGATTGAAGCTCCACAGCACTGGCGAAAATTTAAATTTGCCGACTGGAAATCTTTCGGTTGATTGACTTTCGGAAAATCGACGCTCTACTGTATTTCATTTTTACGAAAGCTTCGGGAAAAGACAAGCTTGTCAAATTCGTTAGTTCAATGTTATGTGACTGACTGCATAGTGTATATGTATAGAAACTCCTTACATATCTTAAGTACTAAAAATGTCTGAAACATAGGACATTTCGAGAGACATAACAATGAGGGGGTGTTAAGGAATGTGAATTTTGTAGTTATTGTCGACTGCCAGGGGACGTCACATCGTCCCGCGCCTTTTTTGTACCGATTTCCGCCATGTTACAAACCAGAACAGAAGGCTTGTGCCGGTCCACTGTTCTTTGTATTTCTTTGTTCAATTAAACATAGTTTACAGACAGTGTATCATTATACACAACCTATTCACTTTTAACATTGTCTGCTGTTTAATTTTTACACGTCGTTGGTACCCAAGAATAGTGACACAACTCAAAAAAATAGTTCTTACAGAACAGCTATTTAAAAGTTTCTTGTTTCCTACAAGGCTTTGTCACGATCTTGAATTTTTAAAATTTTCAAATCTTTTTTGGAAATATATATTAGTGTTCCCCCACATAAAAATACGGGGAATTTGCTACACATTTCTACAATAAACTCGAAATTGGAAATTTTTGAGTTGTGTCACTATTGGGCACCAACGACACGTACAGTACTTATTCTCTGTAAAAATAAATAAATTCATTTTATATGCATAAGAAAGTTCCAAGAAGGAAATCGCAAACACTTTTGAAGATTTACGTATTACGTAAAGTGAGAGAGAATGGTTTTGTCATCATCTAATTTTAACGTATAAAAATGTTTCATCTGAGCTCCCGTTTGCAGTTCGTGCGAATATAGAAAACTAAATATATTCTTATTTTAACAAATATCTCCAATTTCTTCTCTAATTTAAATTTCAAAACTAAATAAAATTTATTCACGTACGTCAATGGTCCGTATAATAAAGTAGCTTTTTATTTTGAAACCCACTTATGTCGAGAGCAACTTCTAAATGAAAAAATACTTTATTTGAAATTATAAAAGGAGTGCTGTGGCTCTAACTCCAAGGAACGCGCAGTTTACAACGCGTAGTTAGCGCGAAATCTATACCGTAATCTTTGAACTGCGGCTCCATAGGGAACTTTTGTGTACCGACCTTACGTTTATAAACCTCGATACGGTATTTTCAGTACGCGAGTGATCGGCTTTAAGATAAGAACACCCGGAAAACTACGAGCAACAACCGGCGTTTTAAATCAAAATCACGTAAGAGAATTGGACACGTAAGTTTTGTAAATAATCCGCGCAGTTTTATTTACAACCGAAAGAAATGACGAAATACACGAATGGTGCCCTAAGAAAGATTTTATATACGGCAATATTTAGTCGACGTCCGAACGTGCGGAAACGACAGGTTGAAGCCGAAGAGGTTCGCCACGAAAACGTCGGCTTCAACTTCTAAGATTGGTCAAGACGATCAGATAGCACGCTCCACAAAAGCGAATCAAATATTAACTTTGTTTAAAATAAATTTTGTAAATTCTTCGAATCAAGTTCAGAAAAATTTTTCGCTGAATATACAGTAAGGCTACGTCCTACGTGGCAGCGTCCAGCGACCGCGCTTCCAAGCGGATCGGACAAACCGGTTCGAGCAAATGCGCGTGTACGGAGTAACCGCGTTTAGCGACCACCGGATGACGTTTAACACGAGCGAGGGAAGCAGCTACCGAGCCGGTTGATCGCCGCTTCCAACGAAGAAAATGGCTGATTTTTAGGATGAATGTAAACAGAATGACAAATTGTGTATATTTGTTGTATGTACTTTAATTAATAATCTTTTACGTAATTTAATAATTTCTGATTTTGTTAAAAATCCACTCTGGACAGAAGTCGCTCGCGAGTTGGAAGTGCGTACAAAGAACCTTACCGCCCGCGGTCGCTGCCACGTAGGACGTAGCCTAAGGGACGTGGTTTAGATTCCAGAGGAAGCGTCTAGTTTTTACTGTAGCTTACAGCGACCGTAAACAAAAATGTCAAATTCCTTTTTGCGCGTGCGCAATGAATGGATCAAACGGACCATAACCTCGAATACGTAATGTCTGAAAACACACAAAAGTTCTAACATAAGCGCTTCATTATTATAGTAGAGCGTGCTAAAAAACGACGTAACGCTTCTTAATGCCGCGTCAAAGGCCCGGATTCGCGAAAGTGTCGTTAGTTACGTCTTATTCTCGCCATATAGTTAAATTCGACAAATTTACGACACATTGTATCTAAAATTCACAGAGCTCGTCGTAATTGAATTTACTATTTAAGAAAAAATGCGCGAGTTCCGATTTCGAGAGTATACCGGGGGTTTCGAACCGCGCGAGTCGTCTCCACGCGAGGTTCCGCGACAAACTGGACGAAAAAAGGCGTCATTTTACTTCTTCCATAATACAGAAATTGATAGGAAAACGGATGTCGATGGAGTCGAGAAAAGACAATAGACTGATAATAGAAAGGAGATCCAATTGCAAAACAAGGGAATTATCGGAGATTATAGTGTTAATAATGCATGTCTAAACGTAGATATAATTCGACGTAAATGGAGAGAGATTATAAAAGCGTTTCAAAGAGGTTAGTAAAATTTCTATATAATTCTGTTTACACTTTAAACACGATTAAGAGAATAGTATGCTATGTACGCACACGCCTTTTCAAATCGGGCTTCGGTTCCTCGATTAAACTAAAAATCATTTCCATCGACATTCGATAGTATCGGATTAATTCTGTCAACAAAATGTCTTCGACCAACTACGTAATTCGCCGTTGGAGAAAGTCAAATACTTAATCGGCCAACTTAAAAAGGTTTCTTTCTTTAAACTTTATTCAAATTTAAACGAAAGATTCTGCGCGCGACGCCAGAATGCGGGTCCGCTTAAACTTACGTGGTTCCGGGAGGACGGCGTACCGGGGACCGACCCACTTCCGTTTAGGCCTTAGAGGCTCCGCGCCCCGAGCGAGAAGGGAGAAGACGAAATGGAGACAGGATTTTATTGACGATAACTATTTGCCGATGTCGTTACATGAGACGACGAGTAGACAATGTTTATATACACACTGCAATCGTAAATCACCACACGTACCGCCGGAGACGAATTTCCGTACTAAAAGCCCAATGCCGTCCGGGCGATATAAGGCACTAGATGACGACGCCCGTACAATTATATATATATATTTATTGATATTTGCGGATTTAAGGAATTTTCCGTCGGCGTGAAATTCTTCCCTCCCGGACCTACCGAAATCCCCACCCGGGTGGCCGCCACTCCGCGCCTCTCTAAGACCCGGAACCGGATAAAAACCTAGAAAGATGACGGGGCGGAGGGAGGAAAAGCGGGAGGCCGGACGACCCGGCGGCGAACGAAACGCGTGGGGTACGGGGTGGATCCGTTCTCTCTTTTCTCAAACAAACTTTATTTTAATGGCATTAAAAAATCGGCAGGGAAACGTTCCGGTTGCTCTTTGGGCGTCGGTGGCCGGCCCACTCTTCTTTCCGCGGGTAACTTACGAATACGGTCGAGTGGGGAACGACAAAGTTCCGTTAGTTTTTGTCTTCCGACGTTCCCGCTTCTTGAGCAACTTGAACCTTGGTCATCATCGACTGCAAGGCGCGCTCGCGCAGCTTTCTCTCCAGTTCCTCCATGTTCTCCTCGTCCGTTTCCGATGCCTGCAAATAAAACAGTCTTTACCGCCCATTCTCCTATTCTCCGCGTTTTGTCCCTACCAATTTCTGGCCTATTTTCCGTTCCGTTATCGGTTTCTACCCGCGCGTGCATTTCCGAAGCTACCTCCGGTGTCTACGTCGTCGCCACCGAGAGTTGGACGGAATACGTCCGAAATGAACCAATTTCCTTCGTTCGCACCGCTTTTATTAAGGAGTGATAAAAAGGACGATAAAGGCAAAAGGAAAGTCTTAATAAAAAGACCGTTTGTTCTTATTCTTTCCTAAAATGGAAGGCCTTCTAAGCCGCGCCTTCCATTTTATTAATTTTATCTCCTCGTGCCCGGTCAAATTATCTTTTAGTCTAATTCTTTAAAACTTTCCTTAATAATTTCCTGCACCGGTCGCTCTATATATTACTATTATAATCGTAATATTGATAAAAATAATCTGGATGTTTTTAACTTTATTTAAGGGACGGACGGCAAAACCGGGTAAGGCCGATGGCTTACTCGTCTACGGACAATAATTCTAATATAAAATTTGGTTAATAAATGCCGTTATTTTCCTTCGCTACATTTTAACGCCTGTCTGCCTTTCTAACGCATTCTGTTGTATAGTGATCGACCGATGGAATAATTTACCTCTTCTTCCTTCTTAACTTTCTTGTGTTTCTTGTGCTTCTTGTGTTTTTTATGCTTCTTATGTTTTTTCTTTTTCTTTTTGGGACTCTCCAGGTCCGACTGCACCACCTGACGACAAAAACTTATTTATATACATTCGAAATTAGATAAGAGAAAAAAACCTAAGACTATTTTATAAAATTGAATATAGAGTAAACTTAGAAATACCGTCGATCCCGCGTCCAATTGTTATGTGGTGTTTATAAACCCGGAATACGGTACTTAACGCGATTTCGCGTAGTGAGACGTTTGCTGTAGTAAAAATTCGACTAATATAGAATGATTCCTTATAATGCAATTACTGTCGGAATAATATATACCAACGCGTAGACCGCAAAGGTTTTGAAAGTAGCCCGCAAATCTAAAGTTGAACAATTTGCTTTCATTTAACGTTTAAAAATCTTAATTCGATAATTTATTCTTACAATAATACACTGTCTGTGCAACGTACCCATACTGTTTGTATTTATCCCAATGAATAATGCATATAAAAATCCTAAAATTGTTTGCCAATATTCATAGTCGCCCGCAGACTATATTTTACCAAAAAAGTAGCTCCTAAGGGATAAAAGTTTGGCCACACCTGATACATACGATAAAATTTATAACTATTGTGAGAATACGAACGATGTTTTTTATTTTCACACTAACTGCGTAGTTGGTAAGGGTGACTTTCGTCGTCCGAAGGTCATCGACGAGGGACCACGATGTCACGTGACCCCCATACGTCCGAGCGACCGGACGAAAAAATTGACCAAATAAGGTATGAATTTCTCTACGGCGCGGGAGACTGTCATAAATCAGGGAGAACTATCAAAAGACATCAACAATTCTCAGATTTTTCCCACGCTGATCGGGTATATAAAGAGGTCGGATTTTCTACTCGGGGCTGAGCCAGGGCGCTTAAGCCGAAGAAACCCCTCTGCAAACCTCCGAAGAACTTCGTCAAGGAAGAACTCTACATATTGGGAGCGACGGAGCATACACCGTAACAGGACATCGCTCCACATAGCCTTCAAAGGACACCTCGGATTAGAAGACAATAATCACAGAGTGTTTTATCAACGCCCTATAACTGGAGAACGTTGCCTTCAAGGTAAACCCTTGCCATTATAATTTATCTCTCTCTAACGTGAGCTCTCTCTCGGATTTTTGCATTAGGTTAGAATAGATTTTAGAATACCTGTTTATATCTTGATTCGCGTATGTTGTATTTAATATCTTTGTGTAAATTTTCATAGTTGTTTATTAAATGTGTTCGTTAATTTAAACCCGTGTAGTCTTTTGGACACCTGATTACGACTTCCGACTCCTCCCCACTCATTTTTAGCCCTCCTATTGCCATCCGACAACCGAGAGCGGGTCTTTCCGACCCGTGCAGATTAAGCGGTCATTAGGGTTCAACCCAGTGGCCCCCTGCTACTCACACTATACTTTAAAAATAAATTTTAACAAAATATGGCACGGACGGATAAATCGATAAGATAAAGGTAATTCCACGCCGGGAGGACTTTCTGTAGGAAATGGCACCTATTTAGGTGTTAGACGTCCGAAGAAAACCTTTAAATATATTGTTTCCAATTTTGTCAAAAACATTAGTTATGATTTCTTGTAAATATTGAAATTTTTAATATTTATATATAAATACGTATAAGCATCTGTAAGCCCGATAGTTATATTAAACCCAAACGATTGCGGGATTACATCGGGCTTTATTACTGTTACTATTAATAATTAAATGCTAAGTAATTTACCCTAGAGGTAGGCGTTAGGTGCCATCTCTTATTAAATTTAACCTCTAGGCTAAATTACTTAGCATTTAATTATTAATAGTAACAGTAATAAAGCCCGATCTAATCCAGCAATCGTTTAGCTTTAATGTTTATTTTTGACATTAGATAATTGGCCAATATGGAATTAATAAGATTTTACCTCGCTACTTTCGGAACCACTCTTCTTTAATTTTCGTTTCTTTTCTTTATGTTCTACTACAAGAACGGGCGATTCACTCCTCTTTTGCTCCATTTCTCTTCTTTTATCGAGATCTGGAGGCAAATTCACTTCGTACATTTTTTCCATGTCATCGGATTCCTCTCGATTTTCATTTACGTCAACTTCGGTTACTTGCTTCACTCCTTTTTTCGTAGTTAGTTTATCCTGTGATTTTGAACAGAATTTATTTTAGTCATATTATTGATAATTATACTTTTCATTTAAATTTTCAATTACTATAACTACTTATACGATACTTTTTCAACGGAGTGGTCCCAATTAGTCATTTTCTTGGATAACTTATGTTTTTCTTCCGGATGATCGGGTGACGACGACGATGATAATTCTTCCGATTTTTGTTCAGTTGGTGAAACAGAATATTCAACCTACAAAAACAAATTATGAGAAAAACTCCTAACAACAAGCTTTTAAAAAACTTATTACAGTAGAGCGTCGATTTTCCGAATCAATTGGGAACTGGGGTTGTCCGGATAACTGATTTACGAACGAAAAAATAGTTTAACGTATCCGATGTCGAAATTTTTCTCAGTTGCGTGTCGCTTCGCGTTGAATTTTCGTCGATGTTAAGCCTAACAAAGACTATTGTATCGTTAAAAATTATTTTTTTATTTTGTACAAACAAAATAAAT